GTCAGCATTTCCCAGACACTGATTAAGGTTCTAGAACAATAGGAGGGAGATAGATTCTGTCCTCCAGGATCCAGGGAAGGTAAGCCTGGAAGACAAAGAGCTCACCTGAAGGTGGACAAGCCCATGCTGTAATCCATGGGGCTGTGGGTGATGAAGGGAGAAATGTGTGCTGTATAGGGTGGTGTCACCTGGAACAGCTGCCAGGCTCAGCCCCGGGGACTTAATATACCTTCCTTAGTAGAGAACCATAACCTCGGTCATCATAATTCCAGCTTTGCACAGAGCTGTGCAGTGTACAAAGCCCTTCGCTGTTCACTGAGAGTGTGTTATTTTCTTCCCTCAATAACATAAGACAGGTATTAAGTTTATGCCTTCCTCTCCATCTCTACTCTCTCTTCTGCTACCACTGCCTTACTTCAGGCCTGCATCGTGTCTCAGTGGACTCTTAGGACAGCCTCCTAACAGGTCTCTCGGCTCCAATTTGCCTCCCTCTAATCCATTCTCTACACTGTAGCAAGAGTAATCTCTCAAAGAAAGCAGTCCCCTTTCTTCCCCTCCTAACACCCTTCAATAGCTTCTCTCGCAGTTTGGATAAAATCCACGTCATTAGCATGCTCATCAGGCCCTACCTGATATGGCTCCTGCCTGCCTCTCCTGTTTCATTTCTTTCCATTGCTCATGCTGAACTCTGTAGCTACAGCAACACTGAATGGCATATGGTTTCCGCAAACCCAGTGAGCTTCCTCACCTTTGGATCATAACTTTGATGACCCCTATCTCCATAATGCCACATGCCCTCCCTTTCATTTGCTAACTTCTCTTTAACCCTTAAGTATCACCTCATTCCTGAGAATGCTTTTCCAATGGCCATACACACATAATTGGCTGATGCCCGAGCTATGCTGTGCAAACTCTCTCATCGTCACACTGTACTGCTGTGATGTATTGCTGTGCCTGCCTGTCTCACTAAGCTGTGAGTTTTCATAGGGAAGGTCCATTACATACTCATCTTGATACCCAGTCACCTAGCATTGCACCTGGCATCTAGCAGGTGCTCAACAAATGACTGTTGAAGTGTTTTATCAACAAACCCGCATTTTAAACTCAGTAAACTACTGCTTAGAGGGCTTAAGGGGTTTGTCCAGGTTGTAAACTAAGTCACAGGAGAAATGAGATACCTCAGTCTTTCTGAAGCCTCAAATACTTCACACTATGTCACATGATCTTCAAAGGGAAACACATAATTATGTTGGCTGAAAAAGTTATATCTCTCAAAGAAATGTTTTGTTTTGTTTTACTTCTTTTAAATCTTAATCCTTTTAAGAATCTCAGGAAAGTTATGGATTTTTTCCCCCAGAAAAATGTATACACACATCAAATTTTTAATGCAATGTAAGAGTGTGTTAAAAGTATATTGGTCAGAATGGGGTAGGTATCGTTGCAGCAACATATAAACCACCAAATGCCAATGACACAGCACAACAAAAATTGAATTCTAACTCACATGAAGTCCTTTATGGGTCAGCAACGGCTCTCCTCCATCCAGTGACTCAGGGGTTTAGGCTTTCTTCACCGTAAGACAGTGTTCTGTCAACACATGCTTCCAAATCCACAGGACAGAAGACAGAAATGGAGAGGGCACACTGGCTCTTAAGTGGTTCAGCCTGAAAGTGTCACATCTCTGTGATAAATTGCCAAATATCCATGAATTCCTTCCAAAATCGTAGGCACGCCCCTTTGCAAAGTGACTCTGCTGTTCCTCCCATCAACCGGTATAAGCTCTGTCTCCAGCTCTTGAATATGGGCTTGGTCATTGCTTCAGCCAAGAAGACAGTAAGAAACCTCAGGCAAGCAGAGGTTTGGAAAGCACTTGTGCACTGGGACTTGTCTTTTCTTGCTGCTTTTTGAAACCGTTAGATCACCCTGAGATCAAGCCTGAGTTAGTCTATTTGGAGTCATGTGGCCCATTTACTTCATCACTTCAGCCAATGGCCAACACTAACTGACAGGCAGAATGAATCGTCAGGCAGGTGAGTAAGGCCATCCTGGACCAAGCAGGCTCCTGCTGACCTACCAGTTGGCTGAACCAAGGCAAGGCCAGCACCCGTCTTAGTCTAGGCCTATTTGATGACCCAAGGAATTGTGAGCTGATAAATGATGATTATTTTAATCTACAATTTTGGGATTATTTGTTATGCAGCAAAAGCTAATACAAAAATAGGTATCAGGAGTGGAGCGCTGCCATAGCAGAAAAGTGAAAAGTGGCATTGACTGTGGAACTGGGTGGAGGCTGGAAAATCAGTTAACAAAAGTTGGAAAAACAACAAACTGTTAGTGGATCCGTAGACTTAGAGTTACAAATTCCTACATATAGTTTAAAGGCCTAGAGACATATGATCAGTTTCAAAGCTCTCGCATGGTCAGAGATGAGATCTATAGCCCTGAGTAAGAGCAGCTAGACCAGAAGAGTGGTATGGTGTGATAACTGTAATAGACTTAAAGCAGTGCTAACACATCCTAAAGGCAAGGGGAAGCTTCAGAATTAGAAAAAGGAGCGTTTAGGAGTCAGAAAAAAAAAAAAAAAAGTGTGTCTAGCCATAGATTTCCTACTAACCAGCTGTGGAGACAGCTGTGAAACCCCGTCTCAGAGGCTTGGAAGATTATACTAAGTTTCTTGGCTTATTGTCAAAATCAAATAAGATGATGTATGGGGAAACTGTTAAATTGCTAAGAACCGTCCCTGAAAAATATGTGTATTATTTTCCCTACAGCCTGAGGCGGCCGTCCTCCAGGCCGGATCTCAGGTGAGCTGCACTGAGAAACCACCAGGGGGCGCAATAAGGTTGGAACTCAAGGAGACAGGGGCGCCTGGAGCGGAAGAAGCCCAGGAGAATCTATCGGGAAGGCTTTCTTGAGCAAATGACATTAATATAAAATTTGAATAATGAGTCGTATTTAGCTAAGTGGCACATACTCTGGACAGAGGGAACGGCATGCAAAAATCCTGGAGGTGAGAGAGCACAGGATTCACTCGTGTAACTGTCCTCTCTAAGCCTGCAGGCTCCTCCGTTTGAACATCAGGTTGAGGAGGGCGAAAGTCGAAGGGGAGTCCTGTCTGCTAAGGGTTTGATTTCTCTTAAAGGCAGGCAGATAGGGAGACAAGACATGGATCTTTCTTGAAACACAATTTTCTGCTTGTTTACAAATGATTAACCACCACAATCAATTGTGTCAAAGTTCAGGTCAGTTGCATCCTTTGGGACAACGGTGACATGTTGCCTTGTACTTAGGCTTATGACAACTGGAATGCACCCTGGGTGGTCTGGCAGAGAACTTGTGTTCTGTGTTTTGGACACAATGTGAGAAGACTACCACCTTCTGTGGCTTTCCCGTCCATCCCCTCACTATACTTCCTTATTTGATTCTCCAACCCCAACCCAGCTACTCTGCAGGGAGGCAGGAGGGGGAGGCTTACCATTTCGTACGTTCAAACCCAAAACAAACTTATCAAGTAGGCAGTAATGAATTATTATCCCCATTTCACAGATGAGAAAACAGAGTCTTAGAGAAACTCTGTAACTGTGTTTAAGGAAAGCAAATCCAGTCTGTGTTCTTTCCACTAGCCCACCCTCATACCTTGCAAGCTGCCTCTCCCATGTGAGGTTCCTCACCCACATCGCAATAGCAAAAGCAACCTGTGTTGCAGGTTGGTTTTGTAAATGCCAGGTTGGTGCAGTTTGGACTTTAATATGTTGATTCTGGGGAGTGAGGGTTGGTTTTCAGGAAGGTAGGTTGGAGAATCTCAGTCATTTGCATCTTTTGGGATACAAGCAATAACAACAACACATATATATTTAGATAATTATTTTCATGTAGTGATTTCTTTTTGCTTTTTCTTTTTTTTTTTTTTTTTTTTTGCAGTCTCACTCTGTCGCCCAGGCTGGAGTCAAGTGACGCGATCTCGGCTCACTGCAAGCTCCGCCTCCCAGGTTCACGCCATTCTCCTGCCTCAGCCTCCCGAGTAGCTGGGACTACAGGCGCCTACCACCACACCCAGCTAATTTCTTTTGTATTTTTAGTAGAGACGGGTTTTCACCATGTTAGCCAGTATGGTCTCGATCTCCTGATGTTGTGGTCCACCCACCGCGGCCTCCCAAAATGTCATGTAGTTATTTCTATAATGCCTATTTGTTCAACATTTACACATTGGGTATTTGGTCTGACTCTCCCAACTGTGAGTGGTAAGTCGGCATAGTCCTAATTTTACATATGAGGAAACAGAATCAGAGACAGTCAATGAAAATATCAGCTCACTTATAGAGAGGGCACATAGAATGTGCCAGGCAATGCTCAACATGTTTTGAATACTTAGATTTATTTAATCTTCACAACAACCCAGTGAGGTTGGAACTATTATTATCCCTGTTTTATAGATGAAGGAACTTAGGCCCAGAGAGGGTTAGTAATTTTCTCTGGCCACACAGCTGGTGAATCACACAGAAGCAATTTGAACTCAGGCAGATGGGCTCTAGAGCCCTACAACCTCTTACTGACTTGCTCAAAATCACGTAACTGGAAAGAGGCAAACATGGAATTCAAATCTTGGCCTGTCTGACTCCAAAGCCTGAATTCTACTAAGTAACAATAGCTTACATATCTGAGTACCCAACATAGGCCTGTTCTAATCATTTCCTTATATTAATTTGTTTAATTCTCACCACTTTGCAAGTAAGGAAAATGAGGCACAGAAGTAAAGCAACTTGCCCATAGTCCAAAGCTATTAGGTTGGTGCAAAAGTAATTGTGGCTTTTGCCATTTAAAGCAATGACAAAAACCGCAATTACTTTTGCACCAATCTGGTCAGTGACAGAGAATGTACTTGAACCCAGGCTGTCTGGACCTAGAGCCCACAGTCCTTGCAGCCTCACTAATAGCCTGTCCACTTAGCAGCTTACCCCAAAGTTATAGAGGAATAAACACCATGCTGCTACAGATTTTTCATCATTCTGGTTGGTTTCCAGAGTGACAGGTAAGTTTTTGGTCTGTACAAAGTCTGAGTTTCCAGTCACTAGTGGCTTTCTGTTTACTTTGCAGAGCTATTTGCTCTTGGGGACAGAAGCTGACCGTGCACTCACAGCACAGACTTGTCATGGGCCTAGCAGCCTCTGTGGCATCTCCTGTCACATTGGGAAAATGAAGAATTCCAGGACATCGGTGTGGAGGGCGCTGGTGGAGCTACTTCTTCTCTGTGCTGCCCTGGGCTGTCTCAGTTTGCCTGGCTCCAGGTAAGTGACAGTTACCAATAATTCGCTGATCAATAATATGACAGGGAAGGTGCAGCCACATGATGCTGACCATCTCTTTGTCACATGTCTATTGAATGAGGAACGTCTCTTGAGGCAATTTGCATGCATCTGTTAACATACTATCATCAACCCTCTTCAAATTATTGTGGAACCAAGCGGCTGATTTCAACAAAAGTTCCTGTAAGAAACTGACATGTTTAAATGTATTTTGTCATGCTGAGAAGAATAGGATATTTGTTCTGTATTCTGAACAAAGCCTCCATGTGATTCTTTATGAAAAAGAAAGTTTGTTACGCACAGAGGAAAAAAGAGCCAATTCATGAGATGATTTTAATAAATGAGATTGACCCACTCTACCTACTCATCAACCTCAAATCTTCAGATTCTCAGGTTCTTTCCCATCCCCCTCTTACACACACACTTTCTCTCTCTCTCTTTCCCCCTCTACAATGTTCCCAGCAGTTACATGCTAACTGATTTGTTTCATTATTGTTAGTCTCCATTAATAGGGTGCAAAACAAGCTAAAGAGAATGTCTTAGTGGGAGCTCAAACTTGGGCTCCAGTGATAGAAGAGCCAGTGACGTAGCAATCTGGGGACGCTCCGTGTGCATGAGAAACCCCTACCATGAGATGTTGAAGTGTGCATGTGTCCCCGGCCTCCATGTAAACACTCCTGTGGGAAGAGGGACTGTAATTCCATTCCTTTTACTTAGTCCAAAAATGAGATCTGAACAAACCTTTCACTTGGTGTGAGGAGTACCTCCTACCCATGGGACACAGCCTCTGGTCTCAGTTCTGTTGAGTTGCCATTAGGAACCACAGCATGATGAGCATTCAGTCACTATCCATTGGCCACTCAATAAGTAACAGCTATTAGGATGATCAAGAATCTCCATTTAGCCCAGAGAATAAAATAACTAAGCTGCCAAAACCTTCCTTGTGTGTACTGTGTGTACACAGAGAAGCATTCAAGACCCAAGAAAATGTCTCCAGAATGGAGGACTTAAGGGAACTGTAGCAAACCTATCTATAGCACTGTGCCCCTGGGTGGAGATTTCTGTTGGGCTCTGAGGATACAGAGATGAGCCTATGTTCTCACAAAGAATGCCAACATGTGAGCACATGCTGTGTGTACCATTGCAAGAGATGCCACAGGGGCAGCCAGCAAACAAGGAGGGAATGATCAGCTCTGTGGGGCATGGGGCCTGGAAAGGCTTCAAGAAGACAGAGTGCTAGGACTGAATCTCTACAGGTGAGTGGGTGTTTGCCGAATGGCTAAGGGATTGAAAGGTGTGCCAGGTAGAGGGAGCAGCACAGGCAACTGTGCATGAGTGTGAGAGAGCTGGCTTGCTCCTGAAGCTTCCAGACACTACAGTGGGCCTTGAGCACAGGTCCTGGCAGGGAGTTGAGAAGGATGAGATAGAGTAGGAGTGAGCAGGCATCAGGTCATGGGCAGAGTTAGGGGATGCAGGAGTACCAGCTAAGGAGCGTGAACCGTATCCTCGCCGCAATGCAATGGGAGGACATTGAAGGGTTGAAGCAAAGGAGCGACACGATCAAATTTATATATTAGGAAGTTCACTCTGAGGTAGGGAGTGGAGGGGCAAATGGTTGATTAGGGTACAGCCTGAAAAATTGTATTTAATCGTCACCACAATGTCATGAGGTGGCTGTAATCTCTCCTTCTTGCTATGTAGGAGAACAAACTGATCCTCAGTGACAAGAAAAGATTCATGCATGTGTGGTGAGTCTCAAACCCTTACCTGAATCCAGGTATAGTTCTGACATCCACTCGTAATTCCCATGAGGCAGTCTCGAACACATCAGGTATTGGAATTCCATCCATGAAGTAAAAGATTAGTCTTTAGTTCTGGGACAGAAAATGCTGAGACCACCTTCGTATTGGCCAAGAGAGTTTTTTGCTTTGACTTACTCTTGTAATCAAGTCAGACAATGAAATCATAATCACTGTGTCATAAGATCTATCATTTATATATTGCCACTCTGTACCAGCCACTTGGAAACATTAGCTATAATCCTCACAGCTATTCCATGTAAGTGTTACTGTTTACCATTTCACAGAGAGGGAAACAGAAAACATAAGTGTCCCAAGGCTACCCACTTAACAAATAGCTAACTATGGATTCAAATCCAGTTTTGTTCAGGTCTCAGAATCCCTGCACTCTCTCTGCATCCTTCTGCTTCTCACTAATGCGTTGTCCCCTCCCTGCCCCAACCCACCCTCCAACCCCCACATTGTGTATCTGACTTGCTGGCCTCCCGTGCCATTTCTTCATCTCTGGGCCACACATTTGTTGCTTTGAGATGTTGCTTTAAATTTCATGTCTACCACAGCAAACAACAGAGAGAAGAGAAATTGAAAACCTGCCACCCAGAAGCTGCCCCTTCTAGCAAAGAAAAAGGATGCTGTTTGCAAAGGGGATGCAGCTGCTTAACAAATTGTGTGTGACAAGAAAGTTGTTGTGTCAGGGCATTTCTACCGAAAGTCAAAATATATTGACGCACCCCATCTATATAAGCTGATGGCTTGCAATTTACTGCTGACCCAATCCTGCTGTACTGGATGGATCCATCTTTATTTTGATCAGAGACGCCTGTTAGGAAGAGAGTGGGAGACCTGGGCCCGGTGAAATGTGTCCTAATGCTGGCTACAGCATTTTCTGCATCCCCAGGAAAGACACCTCCTTGCCAGTCCTTTAAGTAGAGGGGGCACATGTTCAAGGACCTGAGCAAGGGTGTTTACTGTAGCTCTATTTGCAATCGCAAAACACTGGGAAAATATAAACGTCCCTCAAAAGGAAAAGGAATAAAATAAATGCAATGCCTGTCATATAATAGAACATCCAGAAAAAAGAAATGAACTAGATCTCTTTATGAATCAACATGGATAGGCTTCAGAAATGCAATGTCGATTAACAAAAGCAAGTTGTAGAATCGTATGTGTAAGTATGAATAAAGCACACACAAGCAATACTATAGATAGTCTATAGATGTCAAATTATTTAAAAGAGACTGGAAGGAAACACACCAAATTCATGGCAATAGCTCCTCTGGGGGTAAGGTGGGGGGAGCAAAATTGAGACTGCTATAACATGCAGATGTCAAAATTAAAAATTAAAAAAAAAGACTTGAAGCAAGTGTACCAAAGTATGAACAGTTGCCAATCTGGATGTGAGTACAAGGGTGTTTATTATATTATTTCTTGTACTTCTCTCAGCCTGTTTAATTTTTCAATGTTAAAAGCATACAGAGGATTTTTAATGACAGAAGTTTAGTCAGTAGGTCAAAATGTCCATCAGGTTTGTTTCTATAGAAATTCATAGGGGTGAAAGGCTTGTGTTGTTCCCACACACAGAGGCCCTGGTGGAGCCTAGAATTTATGTGGCTCCTCATTAGTCCCAGGAATTAAAGATGTGACTTAATGCTAGCCTTTCTTTCAGATTTGCATTTTGTAGTACTAATAAACCGCACACATTTCATCCGATGTAATTTACAAACATACTATTTATTCAGCTGATTACTTCATTATATTGCCACCTTCCATAATGAAAATTGGGTGCAAAAATGAGAGATGTGGTAGATATAACTACTTTTTACCAAGTTCTTTCTGTAAGTGATCATCTTGCCCATTAATAGGCTTTCAAATCTCAGAGAGGAAAATAATTGTGACTCTTAATAGCTAGTGTGTCATTACTTATCCGCTCAGTCTCAACTGTGGCGCTGGAGTTGTCTTGGTTGCTAAAAACACAATGTAACTGTTTTGTAGTTGAAATAGGAAGAGGGTACCCTGCAGAGCTGTCAAATACATACTTAGGGGAAGCTAAATCACAGACAGTATTGTTTTGTCAAACCTGGTCAAATTAGTAGATAAGAACACATTCTGCAGCCCCCCACTGGTGTGCAGCATCCTGCCTCAAGTAACCATTTTAAAGTATCCACCTGTGGTTTCCAGTAGTCTTTGACCTTTCATTAAAGATCCAACTTTACTAGGCAATTGATTTTTGCTGGTCTCTGGGGCGGTCATGGACACGGATTTCACTGTAGTTAATATTATCCTCTTTTTAGGACTTTTGCCAAGTGAGAACGTATTGTTAATGACCTTGTCGGGAGTGACATCCTGTGTGTATGAGATGGTGAAAACTACGTGATGCTCTTCTCCCTAATGACTCAATCCTGGATATGGGAATGAAAGAGGCCTTACATAGAGGTTGGAAGAGATTGGTGGAGTCACTGCTGGCCCTGTTTCCTTCCAGGCAGCATGGGGCAACGGAAAAAGCCCATATATACTCCAGAGATTAACAGACCTTGGCTCAGATCCTAACACCACTGCATACCAGCTGCATGATGGTGGACGCGTCACTGTCTCTCTGGGCCACTTCACTCATCTGCCCAGGCGGCAGTGCTCCACAGCTGCCTTCCAGCATTGCTGTGAAAATAGAAGGAGGTAGCATGGGTGATGCTGGGCCACTGAGCACAGCCTTGACATGTCTGTCATAGGTGCTCAGCAAAACCTCTATTCCTTTTGTCTTCCCATCTCCTTTTGTGCCTTGGAAAGGAACACAAATTACAAAGAATCTTACAGTGTAATGCACTCTTTCATTTATAAGAAAAAATAAGAATCATCATACACTCTTCATATTATAGAGGAAGAAACTGAAGGCCCAGGCAAGTTAATTAGCATCCTCATTCATTCACTCATAACCCAATGTGCTCCAGGAAATGAGCAAAAAGAATTGCCTTATCTCTGCTGGTGGTGCTGAGGTTTCCAAGAATAACTGTCCTTCACTCACTTCTCCTCTCAAGAACCATCTCTTCCTCTTCCACAGCTTTTCATGGTCAGATCTGTACCTAGCACAAATCTCTTATCCTGAGATCCAAGCCCATATAGGAACTATTTACTAAATGAGTCTCTGTAGGTGTTTCAGGACACCTGGAACTCAGTATGCCCCACCCAAAACTCACGTCTTCCCCATTAAGATTTATTTTCTGCTGTGTTTCCCACCACTCACACACTCAAATGGGAAACCAGCATCCATTTACAAGGCCTTCCTTTAACACCCCACCTCCACCATCTAATTATCCATCATTTGCCATCCATTCCACATAAGAAATATCTCATATGTTGGTTCTCCCCATCCTCTCTCCCCAACCATTGCCATGATTCAGGCTTATACCACTCGATGGGACTGCTGCTGCCAGTCTCCTCCTTGTTTCCCTACCACCAGGCTCTCCTGACTCCCACTGGACCTGCACAGCTTCAACCATGGGGCCTGCATGCTGGAAATCCTTGCCCTCTGGATAAAGTCCCATAGAGTTAGGACGTGAGACATGTTTCTCTTTTCCTATTCTGAGATAAACTGTGACTTCCAGAAGTCAGAACCTTGGTCTTATACCTCTAGGTATTCCCTGTAGCACAATACCCTGAATTAGTCCTCAGCAAATATTTCATAGACTCTTAACATGAACAGATACCTTAAAGACAATCTAGTCCAAACCTCTGATTTTCCAGAGGATGAAACAGAGGCCCAGAGATGGGGAGTAAATTGCTTAAGATCATATATCTAGCTGTGGTTGTGTTCCTTGCATAGCTGTAGCATTTTAGAGTTTATAGTGTTTTCCCATGTGCTATCATTTTTAATCCTAAAAATAGCCTTTGTGGCAGGTTTGATTATCCCCATTATATAGATGAGAAAAGTGAAGCTCATACAGGTTAAAAAACCAGACCACAACCACTCAGCTGCTAATGGACTGTCTTCTGATCCAAGTTCAATACTCTTTTGACGAGAGCTAGCCATAATGTTAGGTGCTTACTACATGTTCAATAAATATTTGTTGGATTAATTATCTTGGAATGATAAACTAATAGCCTTGCACAAGTGAGCAAATATATATTTATTGAATGTACAAATAGATGGTTGGATGTATACTTAATTCCCTTCTGATATGTGACTCTCTTCTCTCATGGTGACTTTTAGAGGTGAAAGGCTACATTCCTTTGAGTCAAATGCAGTCAACAAGAGCTTTGCTAACAGCCGACAGACGCGGAATGTGGATGTTACCCTGATGCCCATTGATTGTGAGCTGTCTAGTTGGTCCTCTTGGACCACATGTGACCCCTGTCAGAAGAAAAGGGTAAGCAACCAGGCCTGGGACAGCTCTAAGCCTCCAGGAGCCTTTGTCCCCAGCAAGATTGGCTGAGCCATTGTTAACAGTGCCTGGCACATAGTTGGCCCTCAATAAATGTCAGCTAACTTAATTAACGCATCCTTTCCTTCCATGCTTCCAAGCAGCAATAAGTTCTTTCCTTTGATTCTCCAGTGTTTTCCAAACACACCCATCCTTTCTCACTCTACCAGCTTCCTAATTAGACTCTCTGCCTTGAACCTATTCTTTCAATCAATCTTTCACCATGAAACAGGGGAAGCAATCACAGTGTATGTCTGAGTTGTCTTTGCCCACTTGGAAACTATTCAGTCTACCGATGACACTTAGGATCACGTCCAGGATCATGGTTTTCAAGGATCCCTATGACCTAATCTAGCTTATATCTTCAGCACACTGGACCCTTATATGACTCTGGCCTTCACTCTCTCTGGGCATTTCTTCATGCTGCTTTCTCAGGTGGGGTGACTTTTCCCACTTCCTTCACTGGCTAACACCTATTCACAATTTGAAACTCTACTCAGGAGCTGCCTCTTTTGAGAAAGCTTTTTGACTCCTTCTCAGCCCTACCTCCAGTTGGATAAAGCAATCTTTTATGAGCTTCAATAGCTTCTTATTAATCTTGTATCCTAGCATTTATCACATCATGCTGCTTATTTTTCACCTTCACTAGACAGTGAACTTGTGAAGGCTGATTCAATTCTGCATCTTCAATGTGTAGACCAATATCTGGCACAGAATAGGTTTTTCATAAATGTGTGGTGTTTGATCTTGTTCTGTTTTCTGATATCTCTATAGGGAAGGGAAGGTTGTTGTTACACTTTCTGTTAAACAGGTAGATAAACAAGAAATCAGAGCAGGTAAGTGGCTTCTTGAGTTCACCTAGTAGTAAATGCAGGCCTCGAACTCAGGCCACTGTCCAGTGTTTCTTGTCTAGGGTTCTACCAGTGAACACACTCAGTTTCTGCAATATCTGTCATTCAACCTCCTTTGTCATAGAAGGGCTGACCCAGGATCCTAGTTCTGAGAACAACAGATATGCCAGAGAAAAGAGAATGGTTGCTATTTCCCCAGATCCTTGGGAAACCAAATCAGCCATGGGCTTAGACTCTAAAGAGGCTGTGGAAGTAGGCCCAGGACAATCACGCAGTTAATTGGATCAATGGAGAGAGTCAAGCAGGATCATTCAGTTCCCAAAGTAGGTTTTATTGCTGAAGTTATCAGCATTGATCCAATTATCTGGATAATTGCTTCATCTGCACCATAAACTAGGAAGACTCAGCATGACTCAGCCTGGCAGCCAGAGCTCCTCTCTCAGAAACTGCTGCAGACATTCCCTCAGCTGGTCATCATCCCTGTCTGCAGGGTCACTGGCTGGGGGCTCAGCAAAGCCCCTCAAGTCAGATTGGGTGATGTATTTCCTCCATCACTTCCACACTCCTCGAGCCCGCTTTGCCTTTGGAGCCTGGAGCTTTTTAGTCTTTTTTTTTTTTTCCTCCCGCAGTGTTCTCTGCAAGCCTTGTCCCTGTCCTGACAGGCTCTGCCTTCCGGAAAGAATGACCCTCTGCAAGTACAAAGGGCATGGGTGAATGGTTATCTACATTTCTTTTTTTGGATTTCCAAAGGCCAAGTATAGATGTCATACAAGTAATAACTATGCCTCATTAATGTCATCCTGCAAAGCAGGGGCTGCTATCCTGGCTTGCCTCCTGTGCTCTTTTGTTTGCTAAAATCTTGACTGCACCTAACATTTGGAATTCACCCAAATCTGATCACTTTCTTCCTCTGAAGAAGTTTCTCATTGCCCCAGGATAAAATCCTGTAATCACTTTCCCAAGGCCTGGAGGGCCCTGTGTTATCTGCTCTTTTCTATGTCTCCCTGTCACTCTGGCCACTCTCCTACTTGTGCTCTTCTATCCAGCCACGATGAATCTTTTTAATGTTTTTAATGTTTTAGTCCTCTCAGCTTTGATCTAGGAATTTAATCTTTTTAATGTTTTCGTCCTCTCAGCTTTGATCTAGGAATTTCCTCCACCCATATCACTCTTCTGTGCCCCACTCTCACCAGTTCTTCACACCTGCCAGACATTCCTACTCAACCATCAAGTTTCAGCTGAGGTGTCACTTAGTTCTTCCAAAGCCTTCCACTTGGGCTTCTCCTAAGTTTGCATGAGGGACTCCCGATGAGCGTACAGAGCACTCTGCCTCCCCTGTCATGGCACTCATTGCACTGTGCTGCAACTGCCTGGGGCCCAACTCCAGCATCTGTGACCTCCTTGAGAACAGGCTAGGGGATACAATTACCAGTAAAATTGACCAAACAAGCAAGCAACAATAACACCTACCTTTTTCAACACTGGGTGGCTTAATCATTTTGGAATAAATGAATAAGATGGTAGAGATATAGCAATATTGACTGCTAAAAAGCAATAATAAAGAAAAACAAGTCCAAGAAATTGAATGCCTACTATATATCCAACAACATAATGAAATTATATAATTTAAACTTCACAACTGAACATTTAGATGATTCATGATCCCTATTTTACAGATGGGTAAATTGAGATTCATAAAGATTAAGTAATTTGCCCAATATCACATGACTATAAAGTATCAGAGTCAGTTGTAGCTCCAAAGCCCATGTTTTTGCATTTATAATATACTGATGTCTTCAGGAATAAAGGGGAATACTTGAATCAACCCAGTAGAGTAATTAAGCTGAGAGATAATTTATTTTGTGTTATTGAACTGGCTACATGAGTCCATTTACTAATCTTTGACTCCAGAGTCCATGGAGTCAGCATGGGCTGACTTTCCCACATTCAGCAAATCTTGACTGATCACTGCAGAAGCAGAGATCAAGGCCAAGGTCTCTGCCCTCAGAGAGCTCACAGACTAATTGAAGAAACCATCTGGCAAACAGCCAATCACAACATAGCTCCTTAAGTGTATATAATGGGGGGAGCACAAGGGGCTGGGGGAATGATAATCAGACATTTCAATGCTCTTGTGGAGCCCAAATCCTGGCTCAAGACCCATTTACACAGAGTATCCCTCAGCTCCTGAGATCTGAGGCTCTGCTCTTGGTTCACCTGGCTCCTCTCTACTACAGTACAGGTATGCCTACTTGCTCCGGCCCTCTCAGTTCCATGGGGAACCGTGCAACTTCTCTGACAAGGAAGTTGAAGACTGTGTTACCAACAGACCATGCAGAAGTCAAGTGCGATGTGAAGGCTTTGTATGTGCACAGACAGGTATAAATCAACGTAGGAGTAAGAGGGGAAAACCTGAAATGAGATAATGGTTCTTGATGACCAAGGGACAGGCCATGTCTAGTGATCAAGATCAGAGTCATGGGGCAGCTCAGGAGGCCTCCTTGTCCTACAATCTCTGACCTCCTTTCACATGTATTATGTTATTAAAATCACCTTATAATGTAGGTGCTATGATTATCGTCATTATACACCTTAAAAATCGAGACTTGAAGAGGTTACTTCTTCATATAGCAGGTAAGTGGAAAAGCTTCTATTGGCAATTTGAGAATTCAGATTACATTCGTTGACATTAAAGACATAAAAATTATGTGTGCTGGAGTCAGAAATCTTGGGTTGAGTTGTATTTTGACTTTGTGACTAGGAGAAGTCCCTTAACCTTTCTGCATTTTGGCTCTCTCAACTGAAAATTAGGGATGATGTGAATACCTTACAAGTCTGTTATAAGTATCAAGTGACATCATAGCTATGAGAGCTCTTTGTAGACTGTTGGCTCCCCTAGCTCTCTCAGAGGTCTGGGGTTAAGTAGAATGTGACAAAATCTAGAACGGTTACATAGGGCAGTTAGCGTCATTTATCTCTGATAAATCTTTAGAAAGATATTTCCTGTCATTTGCATTTCTGCATCACTAAGTCCAAGATGATCCCTAATGCATGATATACCCAGTAAAAATTATTGTTTATAAAAAGGAAGAAAAGAAAAAAGGACAGATGGATAGATTGACAGAAGGAAGGAAGGTAGGAAGGAAGGAGTACACAAATGAATAATCACCTGCTGCAAAACTAAACAAACACAACTTTTCAGTTCATTCAGAGAATCCAAGCAAACAGATGCTTCTCTATTTCTCCGTCTCCAGCAAAAATGAGAGTATTTTGACCCACATTTTCTAGACGGGAGTTGCAATTCTCCACATTTACTGTACCCATGTGGACTGTGCATGGGGATTTTTCAAGAAAGAGTTAGAGATTCTTAGAGCAATTTCCAGGGGTTATTGCAAATGCAAAATTCTATCCAATAAATCTGAAAGACTTTTTTACAGTGTATCCATGGACTCATTATGGCCAGTGTTCCATGATTCTGACCAAAGCCATAATGGTTACTCGGGCAGGCTTTAGTTTAAATGCCTGGTAAGAAACATTTGAAGGCCAGATTGTTATTTTTCTGCTTTTAACACTCCAAAAACATTGGTTTAAAATGACCAGACATATCTGAGGAAATAGGACTACCTGTCTTATGGACTTTATCTCCCAACAATATACTAATGAGAAAGGAAATCAATCAGGAAAAAAGAAGTTTAAAGGAAGCAAAAGGGGTGCAAATAATTTTTCATAATCCAAATGACTACGTTGTTGAAGGCAGTGTGGTTTAGAGGGAAGAATTGTGATTAGACAGTTAAATGTTTCAATCCCGCTGCAAATATTTACTAGTTAACGTGCACTTGGCCCTCAAAAACACGAATGGTACTGGTAACACTTACACAGCACTTCCTGGGAGTCAGTACTGTTTTATTTACTCATTTAGATTTTGAACAACCTTATGGGATAGGTATGATGACTTTTCTATTTTACAGGTGAGTACACTGAGGCAGAGAGGTTAAGTAACAAGTGAAGGTGGCCCAGCTCACACAACTTACAGGACCCACCCATCTCACCCCCTCTTTCCAGCCCCAGGGAGAGAGAGTCCAAACTGTGCTGCTGCTTTCGGGAATACAACCCTGACTTCTTCTGCTGAGGGAGGTGGCAACAGAGGAATAAACTGTTAGTGCCATAACCAATCTATCTGGTTACGGGATGATTAATTAAAACAGGGCAGCATGCAAGACCTGACAAAAGGTCTGGCACCTAGTAGGTGCTTATACTCTGTTAGTTCCTTTCTTGCCAACCACGTGGCTGTGGGTAATACTCTTTCTCCATCCTAGGAAGGTGTGTAAACCGCAGACTTCTTTGCAATGGGGACAACGACTGTGGAGACCAGTCAGATGAGGCAAACTGTAGAAGGATTTATAAAAAATGTCAGCATGAAATGGACCAATACTGGGGAATTGGCAGTCTGGCCAGTGGGTAAGTGACCATTTTTCTGTGGTGGTGATGGGAAGGCACAGCATTAAATGGAATTCTGGAGGATAGAGATATACATATATAAACAGAGTTCCCCGCTCACCTTTCTGAGAAAAGCCTGTATTGTAAGTGACGCTTCTGGTTGCTCTCTGAGGGCAGTTCCAAGTTGCTCCAGGAACACGTCCCACAGACAGACCTAGGCATCAGGAGGGCTGGTTTGGAACACTGGGACAGAGCTGTGCATGTGTGGAAACCATGCAGGCTGCTCTGCGAGGGCTGGGGTGGAGAGGGAGCTTTTTTTTTTTTTTTTAACATCTGCAGTGTGACCATGTTATGTGCTTTGTAAGCCTTATGTCTTGGATCCCATTGACAACTTGGCAGGTAGGTTTTTTCCAGGTGTCTCCCTATCTCCCAGCATTAGTCCCTCTGAGAAGAGAGGTCTCCAGTTAGACAGTGAAGGGATGGATTTCCAGGGCTTCTGGGGATCTCTGAGTTGGTCCAGTCCTCTGGCAAGGACAGAGGAGCAAGGTCAGAAAGGGCCACACTGGCCTGGCATGCACCTTACTTTCCTGCCAAATCCCTGAATGGGATTTACCTTCTTTTTAAAGAAAACCCATCAAATCTCAATTTTTAAAGTTGTCACTAGAGACTCTTCACGTGGGAGACTTCTCTCAGGACTACCTTATAAGCGAGTTATTATAAGGAAATATAAGATAAGGAAACTGCAGATAAGGAAACTGAGGCCCAGGAAAGTTGAGTGAGTTCCAGGGTCACCCAGCTAGAGTGTGGGATAGCAGATATTCAGAGCCAGCGGTAGGGTCTGACAGGACCCTGTAGGAGGGAACAGAAAGAGTGGTTCACTGGCCAGGACACCTCGGGCAAGGCACTTGTCTACGTGGAACTTTAATTTTATCATCTGCAGGAGGAAGTTAATAACATGTTTCTTTCAAAGTGCTGTGAAGATTGAATAAGCGAATGTGACTAATATAAGAGGTGCTGGGCAGCTCGTGTGGTGGGAAGAATACAGACTCTGTTCTTGCTCCACTGTCAGATTTCAAAGTCCAGCCCACCAACTTCTCCTGGCAGGGAGACTCTGGGTTAGTCAGTTACCCTCATGTTTCTCATCTGCAAAATGGGGATAATAATAATACTTACCTCCTAATGACTAATCCTCATAAGGATTAAATGAGCCCTTGCGTGTAAATTGATTAGGATGATGCCTCCACAAAGTCAGCATCACATTATAGTTGTTAAAGAAAATAAATATGTATACATTATTTTGATACATGGAATATGTCATGGGAAAGAGACCCCAGACAATTCTGGTAAGGAACAGAACCAAGGCCAATAAGTGGAAGCTGATAGGAGACAGAGACTCTTAATAAAAACAGAAATTTCAGTAGTTAGAGATGGTCAAGAATGGAGGCTTGTTCTAGGAGGCAGTGACAAATAATGTCTAAAGAGGGGCTGGATTCTTTTCCTCTCTAAAATGGAGACAACATCTGTTGCACAGAGTTGCAGGGACACTAATGAGATGATGCATGTAGCTACCCACTGCTGTGTTTGTCACCAGTTACACCCTCAGTAAACAGTAATTATTGTGAATAATATTGTAAATGGGTTGTGATGAGGGTGGTACAGAAATTAAGAAAACTGCCACTTCAAACAGCACACAGTATAGTGAGGATGACAAATATATACATAGCACATTTATCATGGACCAAGCAGTGTTTTAAGGACTTCATAAACTTGACACATGTGATCCTCACAACATCCCCATGAGGCAGTATTTTCATGGTCCCCATTTGCAAAAGAACAGACTGAGGCACAGAGGTAGTAAGTGGCCACCCAAGGTTTAATTGGCTTGCCCAAGGTCACCTGGGCAGTAAGGGGCAGAACAGAGATTAGATCTCAGACGTCTGGCTCCAAAGTCCACACACTTGCCTACTATGCTACCCAACTCTCGCAAGGCAACTGTAGTAATACAAGACAATAAACGCACAACGGTGCGAGCACAGGGTGTTATGAGGGCCCCTAACCCAGCTGGGCTGCGGCCTTCAAGCGCCGCAAGTGTTAGTGAAACCTCTCACCACAGTGGCAACAGAGCTCAATCTTGACAGACAAGTCAGAGATAAAACAGTGACGGGGTGGAAGGGCATTCTGGGCGCAGGGAACAGTTCTTACCATGGAAGGAGCTGAGTAGACTGGAACAAGAGCAAGTCTCTTCACATGGCTGGGGACTAGGGCACGTGGCTGTGGTTAAGAGTGGCCAGAGATGAAGCTGGAAGGCTGGTTTGGACCAGCTATCAAGGGCCTTGAAGGCTGTGCCAAGGAATTTTTGTTTTCATTCAGTAGGGTCTGACAATCAAGATTAAGCAACCCCAAACCCTAACCTCTTCGTCTTCTCTGTCTCTTCCTCACAGGATAAATTTGTTCACAAATAGTTTGGAAGGCTCAGTTCTTGACCACAGGTATTATGCGGGTGGATGCTCCCCGCATTACATCCTGAACACGAGGTTTAGGAAGCCCTACAATGTGGAAAGCTACACGCCACAGGTAAGGGACAGCCAGGTATCAACGGAGGGAGCCCCAGCTGAGCACCCAGTTAGCAGGGTCCATGGCCCGGCCAGACAGCCTGCTAGCTGTGTGACATTGGACACATCCCCTTTTCTCTTAGAGCCTCAGTTTCTTCATATGTAAAAATGGGCAGTTCCTTCCTTTAGACATTGTGTGGAAGATGACATGCTATATATAGTAACACGAGGGCCATTGTAGAGCAGTAGTAATAGAAACCATAACATCAAAAGCTACCTTGAAGGTAGAAATAAAGCTTAGAATCTGGAGTCACACTGACTTGGTGGCTCTGCCACTTACCATCCATATAATCCTAAAGACTAAGAGCCTCTGTTTTCCTATCTTTAAATTGGGAGTTATGGAGGTTCTACCCTGCAGGGAGAGGATTAGTGAGATAATGTGTGTAAGTATTTAGCATAGCGCCTGGCTTAATAGTGAGTCCACAGAAAATGTTAACTCTTGTTGCTGCTCTTATTGCATTCTTATCAAATCCCTGCCTATTAAAAGCAGGCGTTGTTCTAAGCATTTTATGAAGTGCTCTACCAATATAAGTCCCTATTATGATTAATGTACAAACTTAGAAACACATCTCACAGGCAGTGGGGTTTAAAATAGCCCATAGGACACACACACTTGAGATCTGATGGGAACACACTGGGTGCCAGGACTGGCTCTGCCACAGGTCCCAATTTCACCTTAGGTTAAGTTCCTTTTCCACTCTGGGCCTCAGTTTTCTCATCTGTGAAATTGGTGGACGAAACTAGAAGATCTTCACAGTAATTTCCACTTCCAAAATTGCACCCTTTTTTCTAGCCGGGTATGGTGGTGCATGTCTATAGTCCCAGCTACTTGGGAGGCTGAGGCAGGAGGATCGCTTAAGCCCAGGAGGTTGAGGCTACAGCGAGTCAAGGTCGTACCACTGCACTCCAGCTTGGTGACAAAGCAAGATCCTGTCTTTAAAATGTATATATTGCACCATTTTGAAGGCTAGCTCCTTCTTACTCCTCCTTCCCTTCCTCCCCAACACACTTTTTAGCCAAGAAAGAACAAATTTAGTTTAGCGCCAAACACACTCTCCATCAGGGTGTCCAGTGCCATCCACAAAACCTCTGCTTTCAAGGGAGGATTTCAGAGCAGCCATTACCATCCAGGTGAAAGTGGATCCTAACTCAGGCAGGACATACGTGGTAAACTCTCCGCTCTCCATACCAACATTCTTTGAGCGCTGTGCCAGGTGCCGTGCTGTGATTTACAAGTATAAGCCCAATCCTCAGAACAAGCCTGATGAAAGGGACCATTATCGCCTCCATTTTACACATGAAGAAACTGAGGCATGGAGAGGTCAAGGCAATTGTCCAAAGTCATCCGACTAGGAAAGAGCAGAGATGCAGCGCATCTCAGCGGCCACTCTGCAGACTATGTCTGAACTGCTCCTCCTTCCCCTTGTAGCAGCTGAGTGGTTGCACCCTCCTCTGGGAATTGCAGGCATCCAGAAGCCGATGGGAGCTGTGGGCAGGGAGGTGACTTGAGACTGGTCACTCCAGGGCCCCCGAGGCAGTACCCTTGGCAGTTTCCCTACACACAAAGCCGTGAACACTGGTTTTCGAGCAAAGGGCTCTCCTAAGTTCTCTCTAAGGCACTTTCCTGCCTTTGTCACTTGATCCTCCAGCCACTGCCTTAGACCAGACCCTCATCAACCATCACCTGCACTGCTCATACAGCCTCCTCATCGATTTGTCCCTCTGACTCCAAATTTTTCCCTTCCAATCCAACCACCAGGCTGTCCCAAATCATCTTCCTGAGGCTTGATCTACTTCCTCTGCTGGGTCGTATTTGAATTAAGCCCAGATTTCAGGACAAGTAATTCAAAAGCCTATTTTGACACCAGAACATCTTCTCGCAATATCCCCCTTTTCTCCTCACTGTTTCAACTTCTCATTGAACTGTACTGCTATCCTTGCAGTTCCTGGGGCACACCCTGCCCTTTCCCACCTCCATGCTTTTAATTAAGCTGAGCCCACAGCCCAGAATGTTCCCCTGCATTTTTGCCAGTTGTAATCCAAATCAAAACCAACCTCTAAGTTTCCACCCAAGGTATCGATCAGGTCTGTCTTTACTACTGAACCAAAAGTCCTGAGGTGGGGACACAAATTGGCCCTGGTTTTTCTATATCTAGAGCATCTAATTCAGTATCCAGCACATGGTAGGAGTAGAGTGGCTGTCTGCTCACTGGTATTGAACTGATTTGAGTCAAATGAAATAAAAAACACTTTTTTTCCTTCTTTAGACCCAAGGCAAATACGAATTTACATTGAAAGAATATGAATCGTACTCAGATTTTGAACACAATGTCATAGAGAAAGCAGCAAGCAGTTCTGGTTTCAGTTTTGGTTTTAAAATACCTGGAATATTTGAACTTGGTATCAGCAGACAAAGTGATCGAGGCAAACATTATATTAGGAGAACCAAACGATTCTCTCATACTGTAAGTATGTCTTTGTTGCTTTTAAACGTATATGTTGTCTTACTCCATTTTCTGCTGTTGTAACAGAACACCACAGAATGAATAATTTATAAAGAAAAGACATTTACTTGGCTCACATTTCTGGAGGCTGGGAAGTCCAAGATCAAGGGGCCACATCTGGTGAGGGCCTTCTTGCTGCATCGTAACATGGTAGAAGGCATCACGTGGTGAGGAAGTACATAAGGGGGCTGAACTTCGTTCTTTTATCAGGAGCCCACTCCCATGATGACTAGCTCTCTCCTGAAACAACAGCATTAAACTATTCATAAACCCTCATGACATAATAACCTCATAAATGTGCCTCCTTTCAAAACTGTTACAATGGCAATTAAATTTCAACATGAGTTTTGGAGGGGACATTCCAGCTATAGCCTATGGATCCTTTTGAAATGACATGCCCTCAGATGTGTCTATATTCCACATTACTACTAGTTCTAACAACCGATTATCTTTCTGTTGTCTTGAAATCTTCTCAAAAAAAATAGCTAACTTACTTTTTGAAGAGACCAAGCAGAGATAACCTTCTATAATTATTTTCTTTCATTTTCTAATACACTTTTCCCTTAGGTTTTCAATAAGCTTAAGATGTACCTTTGAAGACTAGAATTTCTCTGGAGACTTTTCAGCCCACAGGAATTTGACTTTTATCCCAGACATCTGGCTGAAATTCCTCTCTGGAATGTCACCCAAGACTTCTTCTCTGACTTCTTAGGGTGCTTGGTGGGGATGACCAAACCATTGCCCTCCTGTTTCTCCTGCTTTCTTTCTGCTCCTTATCAGCTTCCTTCCTGGGTCTAATATTCCCATCTGTCCTTTATTTAATTCATGGCCCCCTTCTCTAGGTACTCTCCAATATCCCCTGGGTGCCATCTTCAACTCACTTCCTCTTTTACAGGGATAAGCTATGAGCCTTCATCACTGCTTCTAACCTCTTGGTTAAACTTCAGACCTTCCCTATCCACTCTTCTGAGCATCTCACCTGGGCATCATGCTGACACTCCAAGGCAATGTCTTCTTCCTAAATTTTCAATGGATGTTAATGGCATATTTCTCTCTACTTTTCCAGGCTAAGAACTGAGCCAGAATCATATCTGGCTCTCACTTCTGCTTCATGTCCACATCTGTTGATTACCAAATCCTTCAGTATTACTCTTCAACATTTGTTTACACTAACTTCTATTACCTCTTAATTAATCCAGGTTCTTTCATCTCTTACTGTGCCCAGCTAAATAGTTTCTCTGTCTCCTAGCTTGCCCCTTCACATGCATGAAGAAATGTTTCTATGAGGCTAATCTGATTATATCATCTGCTTCCTATTGCTTACTCCCTCCCCTTTTCCTTCTCTCCTTCTCTGCCTTCCAGCTCCCTGATTCAAATTGCCAGTTATAGGATGCTAACATTGGGCCAGGCTCTATCCTAAAGACAGACTAGGGATCTATAGTCTCTAGGATAATATTCTTGCCTTCATGTTCACAGTATAGTAGGAGCAGCAAACATGAAAGCCAGTGTATTATTATTATTATTATTATTATTATTATTTTTTGTGGAGACAGAGTCTTGCTCTGTCACCCAGGCTGGAGTGCAGTGGCATGATCTTGGCTCACTTCAACCTCCACCTCCCAGGTTCAAGTGATTCTCCTGCCTCAGCCTCCCGAGCAGCTGGGACTACAGGCATGTGCCACCTGCTTGGCTAATTTTGTTGTATTTTTAGTAGAGACAGGGTTTCACCA